TCCCCGATGCTCATGGGAAGTATTTTTGTACGTTTACTCTGTACCTATACTACCGTTTCGCTCTAAAACTATATCTACTGTTATCATTGTGATACTCGCTACTGCGATCGTCTTTTGAATCGTTAATTGTAATATTACATAATGTGTAATAAGCGGGCGTGTGTTTGGTTATGATACGCTCATGAATTGGCGATAGGAGTCTCCTTGAATTTTGATAATTTTCAAACAGAGACTGTAAATGATTATCAATTGTTATCATTATTTGATTGACTATCCTCTATCATGAGTACTAATTGCTTGATACAAACTTTCTCTATGACGATTGCCAATGTCGTCTGTTTTATTAATTCTAATCTTGCTGTGGTAGAAGGAAATCGTTTCCTTACAAGTCGCGTGCGACTCCTACGGTTTGTCTTATTCTTTTCTTCCATGTCCATTAATTCAATGTATCCACAGTTACATGTGATTTACATTCCTTAGCATTTATACCACGAAACCCGTGGCTACATTTTTTTAATCGATATATGACTCGCCGTTGAATAATCGCATAAACAAATAATACCTATTTATTATAAATGTACATACAACTGTTATTGTAATAAAGAAGAATGTGAGGGAAATATACAATTATGATACTTTGTTCATTGTTCCAATTCCGCTGTGATACAATCACTTTATGGCAAAACTTTTCCGCATTAATATATTTTTTTCCTAAATGTTTATTTTAATAGGGTTTAGTTCTGTGATGCCGATCACGATCAGTTCCAATTTTAGTTAACAACTTATGACTTGAATTTTGCTGTATCGACGATTCCATTTGTCGCCAAATATTGACAGTACCTTTCTCACCAACTGTCACCAAGCTTCCACTCTGCAGAATCGAAAATACGAAGCGATTATTGATCTAAGTTGAAGTAATTTCTTAATTTATACTTTACCTTCTCATGCATCCAGCTGTCCCGTACTATTTGTTTATTCCCTACAATTTCATAATATGTTTCCAAACGATTCTTCTTAATATTCAAGCATTTTAGATTTTCCCTGAAAAAATATAAATGTTATGTCATTATCAATCTGAGAAAAAAAATTGTTTTGAATAATGCATTACACTTATATTGCAAATTAATACCCTTTAACTGTGCTAGAACCCGCTAATACGAATGGTTGTCCAAAAGCATTAGTGGCATGGAATCTTACCAAGTAACAATTATCAGGATCATCATTCTGTAAATAGAATTCTTTAGTTATTTTGTAAGAAAAGCGATAAACAGTGATATAATGATAGAAAAACCATGCATACTTGTGACATGGCTAAATCACTACGCGCAAATGTTGCATATGCACTAGCACCTTCACATTCCCATAACTGTAACGTTTGTGTATGTGTTGTACACCATAGAGAATCATCAGTTAACCAACCCAGTCTATCCTAAAAAAAAAGCAATTTGATTAAAAAAATTCTTTATATATTATAACAGAACTAAGTTGATTATCTTACCACGGATGATTCGGTATTTAAAGAACAAGTTAAAGCCAAATCTTCTGAGGATTGTGTCAGGTCAAATATATTCATCAAACCATCTGTACTACCAGATACCAAAACATTTCGCTTGACAGGATGAAAGGTCAGACAAGTTATATCATCCATATGCGATTCCCAATATCCACCAAGGAGATTGTTTTTATTTTCTAGTTTTGAATTACTTTGTCTTATGTCCCAAAACAGAATAAATGCATCTCCACTCGTGTGCTCTGTCCCACCAACTATGAGCCTTTCATCACAGCTAAGGTCAAAGCTAGCTAAAGGTTTTATTTTGCCATTTTCTGTATTATCTGTAATGTTAAGACTAGTTAAGACATAATTGTTTAAAATATTTATCGATGAAAACTGATGTTTACTATTTTTAGAGCCGACAGTTACCTTTAAATTCTGCCACAACCTTTCCCTTAGCACGCAAATCACACGCTGTAATTAATCCATCGTTAGTTGCGATATATAATACATTTTTAGAAATAGGACTGAACTTAATTCCTACGATGGGTGATTGATTATGGTCTAGCATAATCATTCGGTTCAAAGATTCGCCAACAGAATATATTATGCAAGAGTGATCTGACAATGCTGCTCCAATCCTAAATTCTGGCTCACTATATATATAAACAAACAATAGTTTATGTGACAAAATAAAATTAATATATATAATTTTAGACAATATATGAGATTGCTTTACATTTAGATATGACATTTCATGTATATCAATAAATAAATGCTCTAAACTGACAATAATAAAATTTTGATCTTAACATTAAACAAAAATATTAGTTATAAATGTAACTAAAAATATATATTATTGAATATAAATAATTTAGATTTAAAAAAAACATTTATAGAAAGTATCATACATGCATAAAAATGTCAAACAAAAATTATATTTTATTGTAATCAAATAATTAGAACATATATAGTAGAGCTTCATGTTCAAAGAATACAAATTAGTTTTGTGTCATTGACAAGATTTATTTTAAAAATGGATTACTTTTGATCATACAATAAATACTAATTTTCTTAGATCACATATATATAATACACATATATATAATAATAGAAATATATTTGGGATGTGTGTTTGGGAAATGTGTTATACTTTTGGGCAGATTTGACATTAAATGTTCTAATTAAGTAATTTCTATTTTTGTGACTAACTAACTGACTGAATTAGTGTACACTGTACTTAAAAAAAAAACAGATATAGATATATATGACATTTGGATGAAAACAAAATAGATACAGTGATAAAAAAGATTTGTAAAGAAATATAAAATTTGCCTTTGGGTTCCATAAACAGATAATATGTAGTCATTCTGATTGAGTGACACTCTTTCTTCCAGTGATAGCGACAATTCGACCTTCTTGTTGATCCTATCATTGTCTTGTCGGTATGACTCCGCGTCGTTTTCGACATTTAATTTTTTCAAAGACTCAACTATTCTCGACATAGTTTCTGCATTTCAAATTACAACTGATTCAAAAGAACACAGAAACCAGATAAAACGAAATTTAAGGTTAAATGAGGTTAAATCAAAAACTTATGTTGACACACGTACCTCAAACCATATTTTCTTTTACAATGACTGCGTTCAGCAGAACGTGTATTTTGTAACTGTTGGAAGTTTTCTTCGCGCTGATTGGGTTATGCATTTAGATCAAGAAAAATGATTCAATCTCAGCAGAAAATCATAAAACGGTTGCAAAACTGTTATGTTCTACTGCAGCCAATGATTACGTTCGGCAGATTTAATTAAAATCACTAGGATTACATTTTAAAACTTCCTCCCTGAGGAAAAATTTTACTCGAAATATATAGTACACGTAACGTATACTATAGCATATAGAGTAAAATCTTCCTCGGAGAGAAAGTTTTGGAACGTAGATTTCTAAAATACCGTGAATTCGCATCCATTTTGATGCAAAATGCGGCCTTTTTAAATTTATACATATTTATAATATATATTTGCATATGCGTACTTTATTTGATAAAATAAAGCTGTTAAGTATACAAATGCTTTTTAATTGTAACTAATTTATTTATAATCAAAAAAATATGTGTGAATGCTTAATTTAATTTAATATTAAATTTATTATTTAATTTAATACGGGTTTATAGAAGTTTAGTGCATGAAAGTGCAGAAAGAGACATATAAGTACAATTTTAAAGATGAACCACCAACTATCATGCTTGAAATTGTATGTATTAAGGCATTATAACATAAATATTCGCATCCGCCAGTTCTTTTCTCACTCTTTTGCTCTTTTCCTCAATCTTTTGCTCTCTCTCTCTCTCTCTCTCTCTCTCTCTCTCTCTCTCTCTCTCTCTCTTTCCGCCGGTAAATAAGGCTGTGGTCAAAGTCTCGCTACAAATGCTTCGTTGCGTTTGATGGACCAATTGGAAGAAAAAATTTTACAAAACTGACCAGTTAAAAAAGAGTTTGTAGTATCGCGTTGATCGTAACTTAAGTGATTCCGCACAATAAAAGAAATAGGGAACAGAGAACAGAGAATAAAAATTTCAACCTATCAGAAACTGATGTGTATTCCATAACATACATGATTTCTGATAGGTTGAAATTCTTCTATTCTTTTATTGTACGGAGTTCCTAAGACTGTGATCAAAGTTCTTTCGTTACAAATGCTTTGAAGCGTTTGATGGACCAATTAGAAGAAAGAATTTTACAAATTGACTTATTAAAAAACACTTTAAAGCGTTTGTAACATCACATTGACCATAACCTAAAGCCTTGTGTCCACGATGGTAGAAATCGGTCCAAGAGCTCGGATGAAGAAAGAATTAACCAATCGCAATAATCATGTGCTCAAATTGTTCACATGTAATTTGTTAATTTTTTACTCTATCCGAGATCTCAGATCAATTTCTAACATCATGGACATCAGGCTTAAGAAAATTAAAGAGAGAACTAAGAGAAGGAACTAAAAATGGCGGATGCGAATATCTATATTAGTGCTCTACTATGTGTACTTCGGCCATTTTGACGCGACATTTCTGAAATCAATTGCGGTACTTAAATAATCTAATGACTTTAGATTCAACTGTTGCGGAGCGGATCCGTGAATACTCGCTGCTATTGGTATATTTTTCTAGATTCATTCAACAGTTGAGCGCTCGTTGTTGTATTCTTTTAGATTACCCAATCAGCATTTTTGATCTGGAAGAATACATCAATAGCAACGAGCGCTCACTCAACTACGCTGAACGCAGCCATTGGGTGCATTCAGAAGTTAGAATAATAACCACTCATTGAGTGATCAATGAGTTCTTTCGTTTGATTGATCTATATTTTAGGATCTAATGGAATGTGCCAATCAGATGAACGCGACTACATCCTTAGCCAGCCAGATAAAATTATCATATATATTTAATTAAAAAGTCATTAAAGCCAATTAAAAAGTCATATATACCAGTTATAGGCCCGTACATGATAGAAGAATATAAGATATTTCATTCCTAAGGATGCAGTAGTCCAAAATGGCGGCTGCTCCTAAATCAATCAAAAATTTGTTCAAAATTGTAAAAAAACAACATGGCTGCTACCATAGTTGCTATTTAGGTTAGAAGTGATCAAGAAACAAAATATAATTAAACAATGATAACAGTTAGAGCACATATGTACAACAATAATAACATTTTAACAGTGATAATAACAGCATGTTATAATAAATAATTAATTGATCTTAAATATCAAATTACATTTATTAACGTTATTACATTAATGTCATTTATTTTATTAACATTATTTCATTTCATTATTTTATTCATCTACGAGCTTTTATATTTTTTCAAATTTAATTTTGTTTTTACAATTGTTACGTATGTATTTTTACCAACTGCATTTGAATTTAGCGCTAAATTTTAGATATATTTCTGATTGGTTGTTCTACTTTTCTTTCATTATACGCAATGAAATACCTTATATTCTTCTACTATGGGCTGCTAAAGCCAGTTCTACAATCAATCTGAAGCTTGCATTTTGAAATCAACACTTTATATTGACTGTCGCAACAAACTTGCGATCGACTTGCAACTAATGTAGAATCGGCTTAATTTACGTTACTATAGAATTTCAACGATAAAGGCTGGACTTCAGGAAGAAGTTACACCTAAATGACTAAATTATAGATTACGTTACATATATTATAGCAAAAATGCACCTTAGAGTTATCTAGGCGTAATTCTTGAACACAGCCCTGTGGTCAAAGTCTCGCTACAAATGCTTTAAAGCGTTTTGATGGATCAATAGAAGAAAGAATTTTACAAATTGACCAATTAAAACACGCTTCAAAACGTTTGCAGCATCACGTTGATCGTATCCAAAAAAGCGCGCTTTTATCTCTGAAATTCTATAGTATGCGTCACGTAAATTATAGAATGTTAGCGCGCTTTTTTTCATCGCTGTAAACGCGTTCTGAATACGGGCCCATGAGTAGACCAACGATGACCGATCATAACCTTCTGTGCCCACCATGCTGCATGCCTTTCTCCGCTCTCGCGCAACATGGCGACCGGCAAAGGACTTGCCGTGATTTTTCATCCGAAGACCATTAATCTGATTGGAAATAATAAGCTGAACAAATTCTCGCGCGGCGTTTTGTGGCAATGCAGTACGTGTCAGCGGCACGTGATGACTGTCGCATCGGCTGTCGGTGGCTGGAATCGTGAAAAAAGTAATTTGCACATATGCTCGAGTCCTTCTGGATTACATCATTATCTTATTTTTTGATGAAACTATTTCCGGCGCTTTCATTTGTGTATCGATGACCTCCCCACTCGTTACATCGACATTTTCATTCTAGATCATTCAAGTTTTCGTTATGCGTTTCTTGTCGCACGACACGTGCGTGTTTGAAACATTTTCTACTGCTTGATCACGCGCGCGCGCGCGCGCACGAGCGTGTATGATGTGTGTGTGTCTATACATATATACAATATATACTATCAATATATACTATCTAGTAAGTAAGAACCCTATTAGAACATTCCAACAACATCACAGCATTGTTGCAATGTTGCTGAAATATTTCAAGATGTTTCTTGCTTACTGGAGAGTCTGTTCTAGAAAGTCCAAGTTATTTTTCTTTCGATTGTCATTACCTAGACAAATATCTATGCTAATGTCAACTTTTATATAATGAAGAACCTAATTTACTCTATATTTTTAAATATTTAGACAATTCAAATCTATATTTTTCTTTATATGCAAGCAATGAAAAGCCTTCAGATTTATTGATATCTCAACAAATTAACTAAATCTATTTCAGACATAGGAAGAATAGTGCAGCCACATAGAGCCATACATCTAACAAATAGATTGTTAAAACGTAACTATTATGAAATCCTGGGTGTTTCCAAGAATGCCTCAGCAAAAGACATAAAAAAGGCATATTATCAGCTTGCTAAAAAATATCATCCTGACACAAATAAAAGAGATCCAGATGCCAATCAAAAATTTCAAGAAGTTTCTGAAGCATATGAAGTATTAAGCGATGATACTAAGAGAAAAGAATATGATACATGGGGAGCAACCTCAGAGCAAATGGGTATGGGAATGGGTCAGAGTCAGAAGTCCAAGAGTTACAATCAGCATTGGCAGTACAGATCTACCATTAATGCCGAGGAATTGTTTAGAAAAATATTTGGCGATGCTGGATTCCAAAGTGGAGCTTTCAATGATTTTGAAGACTTTTCAGAATCAAAATATGGTTTTGGAGCAGCTCAAGAGGTGATCAAATGTGACTTTATATTTCCTGATTATTGCAATATATAAATAATACTTCTCTTATTACAGGTGATAATGAATTTAACCTTTTCCCAAGCTGCTAGAGGTGTGAATAAGGATATTAATGTGAATGTAATAGACACTTGTCCGAAATGTGGTGGTTCACGTTGTGAACTAGGAACTAAACCGGTAAGATGCCAGTATTGCAATGGTACTGGAATGGAAACAATAAGCACTGGTCCTTTTGTAATGAGTTCGACTTGTCGATACTGTCAAGGCACGAAGATGCACATCAAGTTCCCTTGCACAGAATGTAACGCAAAAGGACAAACGGTACATATCTATTTCTTGATTTTATCCATATATCGCTTGATTATCTATCTCGTCTATCATTATTATATTAATTAGTATGTTTTGATTGCATTTTTATAGGTACAACGTAAGAAAATAACAGTGCCAGTTCCAGCTGGAGTAGAGGATGGTCAAACGATTCGTATGGCAATAGGCAAGAAAGAGATATTTGTAACATTCCGTGTGGAGAAATCTCGATATTTTCGCCGTGACGGGCCCGACGTGCACACTGATGCCGAAGTCTCACTAGCACAGGCAGTGCTAGGTGGTACAATACGAGTGGAGGGAGTGTACGAAGATCAGACTATACAAATAATGCCAGGTACATCGTCCCACACGCGAATCCGTTTAAACAGCAAGGGATTGAAAAAGGTCGATGGGCTGGGTTACGGTGATCATTACGTAAACATAAAGATTATTGTGCCGAAACAATTGACGGATAAGCAGCGAGCGTTACTTCAAGCGTTCGCCGAACTTGAGACCAATACTCCCGGCAGTATACATGGTGTAACATATAAAACAGATGGTAAGAATAAATGATAAAATCTAAATTATTTTTAATGTATTTCAAGTATTCTATAGACATGAATATTTGTACTTGTAACGTCGAATATTTAATGCTACTGCAAAATATTGCACTAGCGTACCTTTATTAGATTATGTATCGCTTGAGTTTTCCCCTGTGTACCTGCTATTACTAATTAAATAAAATCATATTAAAATATTACAAATGCGTTTCATTGACGTTTTTCGAAATGAAATGAAAAAATTCTCGTACAAAATTTTTGCGATAACAGAAATTTGCGTGAAATGTTAATATGTAACTAATTCAATGTAAGATACATATTTTTAAATAAAGTCTTTTTCCTTAGTAGCTTCAATATTTTTTCTAGGCATGGCAAATCCAAAGGTGCAAACTCAAGCGAAACAAGAAGTCCAAAATGATCAAAATGACGGTCTACTTACAAAAATTAAAAAAGCTATATTTGGATAAAGAATACATTGTAAGTAGAACTAGGCAGAATATAATTTTATATCTGTGATATATTTATTGTGATATATTTATTGTGATATATACAAGTCTATAATTATAACTTGGATACACTCTATAATTATAACTTGGATAAATCTCAATATTTTTTTCCACATATAATGGGATTGTAAATTCATTACAATTTTCTAATTGTGTGTTGTTTCTGACCCAATTCCAAAACATTTTCGAGAAATAGATTCTTTGTAGTTTTAATCGATTATTTTGATAAAAATATCATGCGATGAGAATTATTTACTGTAATTTTTACGTTACTACTATAAAATATCCATAAAACCAATTATTAAACTTGTATAGCCTGATAAATTTTATGAGTTTTAATTTCATATATAATATATATCGTAACAAAAGATTATTTTTAAAAAATGCCGATACATTTTATTCGCAGGTACGAAAGAGTGTTATTCAGGTCCATTGCACTTGGTGGAATCTATACGAATAGCACTAGGAAATACATCTAACTTAGGAAATCACGACAACCAGTCTTCATCTTCTGAGTCCGAAAATCCAGGAGATAAACTTCTTAATAATAAGTCCGTACATACCAAAGATACGTCGGACGTCGATAGCAAAAATGATACTAACACTGGAATGCAACGACAAAAAATGCCCCAGTAATCAAGGGCTTTAAAACAATCTGTAGAGAACTAGAGAATGCTGCTCGCGTCGTTACTGATAAATAAATTCTAATTCGCACTAGCATCATCATGAAAGTTTTTGGTCCTGAAATTATTACACTTATTAGTAAACTTTCGATCAAGTTGTACAAGTATGTGAATTGTTACGAGTAAATAATGCCAGTCTGATGTCGCTTAGGTAACATATAGCAGCTGTACAGTCGTATCATAGCGTACAAGAGTTTGTCTTTATTACGCATCTTATTTAAATAAAATATACATGAAGCTAGATATAACCATTATTTGTCATCTTAATCAAGATGTATATAAAATAAATTTTCTGCAACATGTATCCTTTTGCATATACATGAAAAATGAATTCACATTCTCTTGTGCAGGTTCTTTGATCTGTTTTTCTTTTACACACATACACACATGCATACACATACACGTTACGTTAAAACGTTACGTTAAATAAATATTGAATGTAAATTGTAAACAAAAAAATGTGGTTATAAAAATAGCCTATCTAGTTTAACTATGTAACTTACGCGTTTTATTTTGCGAAATAAAAATTATACATTTAAAACATACATATTTACATGATTTTTTTTTAAATTGTGTTAAAAATAATTACAAATAATTTATAAGTCAAGAATAAGTTGTAACTATAAACTATAAAATCTTTTAGAATGCTTAAGAATCATCTGTGTATACACGCAATTCATCATTATTGCGTTTATCATATATTCTAATACAATCACAATCATTATTTGTTAACAAAGTTGATAAAAAATAAATATGATAAATGCAATAAATGAATTGCGTATATATACAGATGGTTCTTAAGTATTCTAAAAGATTTTAAAGAGTGATACTTTTCATTAAGTGCACACAATATTACATTCTTGATATTCAATGTTAAAAAAAATGACAACAGATACGATTATCGTGTTACATTGTATTTAAGACAAAAATTTCATATAACTTTATATCTAAAACGATTTAAAAAATATAGGGTATCAAATTTGAAGGAAAAATTTCATTTTTTCACAAATTTCGAAAACCACTCGGAATATTTTTATATCCTTGAAATACACATAAAGTTTTAATCATCATCAAAATGATCTGGAGGATTAAAAAATTTTTTTTCTTTTAATACTTTATATCTTTGAAATTACATCGTCTTATATGATCATATAGTTTTTATCTTGAATTAAAATGTGAAGAAGATGATAAGTAAATTAAACATATTAATCTTTCGTCAATAGGCCATACTTGAGTCCAATGTTTGTAAGACTTTGCGTTGCTGATACTCTTAATATAGCTACCATTATCGCCGCGATAGTAACAGCGCCTTCTAAATACAGACCGTACAGTATTCGTACGTAACCGACGATAGTAGAGAGACCGCCTGCCGCAGTGAAGTCTAACGGAAACAGCAGACTCGCCGCGATCGGTCTCGATCGCGCTATGCCGAAGCATAGTACCCCCAAAACATAGTATATGACTACAATAAAAATAAAGTATAAACGAGGATAGCAATAATTATAGTCGAAACAAATTTTTATAGAGATTCGTGATAAAAATTTTACCTGTGCCAACAAATGACAATATTTGGATCCATTTCGGCATGTGTTTGGAATAACTCGATTCTTCACTGTTGAGTTGCACACCTTGTCTGGTAAGCGCATACTTTTGTAAGCGAAAAGCCACCATGAGACCGAAATTCAATATAAGAAGGAAATGGGCAGGAATACCGATAGCGGCGAAAATCACTCCTACTGTGCGGCCAGCGGTTGTTCGCGGAACAGGTGCCCCAAAACCTGTAAAATTGAAAAAATATTTAAGAGAAAATAAAACACAATATAATTTTAAGAATGAAAAGATTTACATATAATTATCTAAGAATTAATTCTAAATTAATTAAATATTAGTCCAAATTAATTAACATACCTAAAGTGGTAATTAACGATATGGCGAATAATACACAACCGGGAAATGTCCACAGCTGTCCGCTATTACCACCCTCGCCATAGCCGGAACTAACAGCAATCAAGAGGAGTTGTTCATGTTTGATAACATATTGCTGGACTTTATCGCTCCATAATGGCTCCATATCCTGATCCTGTTCCGTCCGCAATTGCCGCAACTCTGTCGCCAAGCCAACTGCTAAATCCTTCTGCATGTTCTTCAGCGACACGACCTGTTCGCGCTCACGAGGTCCTTCCGTGGCGCAAAACGCCGCCGCACCTGCTACCATCCATATCACAAGTAACCAAAGAAGACCTACGATAGATTATAAATTAATTAAATTACTTCAAATGATAAATTCTTAAGCGGTATGTAAAAATTTAAATTTATAGTTCGTACCCAATTGCGATAACAACAATCGTCCCAAAAATCTCAGATATTTTCTAAATCTCGAGACCTTCGAAGAATTTCCATTATCCTCTTCGATATCTCTGAGAGATGGCAGAATCCTTAATCGTAGAGGTAAACCTTCTATGGTCTGGACAGTTACGGACTTTGTCCATTTTGTCCGTATTATACCGTTTTTTAAATGAGGTGAAATCTCGGAAGATATTGTAGTAGGTGTATCCGTAATATCTATTTTTAATCACATTTATAGCAACGAGCAAAAACTCATAATGATATATAAGGCATTTTTTATAGTTTTATATATAGTATTCAAAGAAATATCGAAACTTTTTTTAAAGTTTGAAGTATCACACAATATATTTTAAGTTAAATAATAATTGTTTTTTAATTACGAAAGAAAATATTAATTCGAATTTTCTAGTTTACGATAATAGCTTTGTATTAGCAAATGCTGTAATCGATTTTGTGTGAAACTTTTGTTAGTAATAATTTAAGTAAGTATGCTGCAAAAGTACATACTATCTCCTCCTGCGTATCTAACTACTATGTTGTGATATAACGTGTACGTGATATAACGAATATACTTTTTTTTTCAATATCTTTACAAATTGTTTATGACATGAATATTATAATAGATATTCATCACTTGAAAATATTTCTTGCAAGTTATTTATAAAATATAATATATTTACATTTTTCTTGCATTATTACTTCAATTTTTAATATTTCATTTCTATTGTATTAAGTACAAAGATTTCTACCAATTAAAATGCATGGTTTTAAAAAATTGAAATAACATTTACCGATGCCGCAAACGACGTCGTCATCGTCCTCTTCATATTTTTTCACGCGATGCTCCATCATCCTCTTGCAAAGTTCAGAAATGCGACGAGGTGCAGCATCCTTGACGAGGACCGCGGTCTTGATTCGTGGATGGACTAAGTTCCTGCAGACGCGACGTCGCTTCCTGGTGCCCGAGGGGGATCGCAAAGGTACGGCATATCGTTCGTGCACGGATGCAGCAACGAATGCCGGAACACGTGGTAGCGTCGCGACGCTTGGAACGTCACTGAAAGTCGGTGTCGCGACACCTCCAATAGTCGGTGGTTGCGGAAAAAGGGGTACATCCATCGGCTAAGGTCAAAATGAGCCACACTATAGCCATTGTAAACTCTACAATCGCGTTTAACGATCTCTCGGTCGCGATTATACAATCATACATATTTCATACAACATCGAGAAGAAGGCTACACACCTTCGCTTTAATATGTATATATTGACTTTCCGAGAGATTTCTCTTAATTATAAATAACGAGTACTTATTGAATTGATTCATCCCGCAAAACAGCAAGTTTTCTTTCAGTATTTCGAAATTTTTACGCTCTACTGAATTCTTTATTTGAGTGTAGGCTTTGAACTCAATAATTTTACGCGAAACGAATTTATGTTATGTTATGTTATGATCTTATATTTTCATCTTGTGTACGACAACGATATTTATATTACATGTTTATTTTCAATCAGTCAAAGTGTGCCAGATATCAATCATCATACAGGTACTTATAGATATTAGTATTTCATTTGCGGATAAATGCGACTATCTTGATGAAATTTTCCCTCGTAACAATTTTAATTTACGTATTCCTTGTGGAGTTTTTTGCTTATTTATAAGCATGTACATAAGAGTTGGATCGATGAGAGGTTTGCATTTTATAGAAACATGCTTTATGTTCCATTAATAATACTGCTACGCTGTTGAATATATAATATACTAAATTATGATGGCAATGTTTAACTTGATAATCTACACGTGTGTCATCGTACATTTCACAGCTATAACTCACGAATCATCTCTGCATTATTGATATATTTCTTAATTATGTATTCATAAACATATATTTGTCTAACCAACGGCAACATTATATATAGTAATCGGATGGATAAAGTACAGAAAAAAAAGAGAAATAAGCAGAGTTACAAACATAGCGACGATTCGATGTCTCAGAGACTTTCGAAACTACTGACTTCATGCATTCTGTGAAGCGAAATCTTCGTGCATTCGACGCGTTGCACCGAACCGGAAGAAATATGATGTATGTATACATATATCTCTTCTGCAAACCAAAATTAGCTAACGCGGCCTTGGAATCAATGACGGCAATCTTAAGCGATTCTCGTATCGCCTTTCTGTCTATAACTAATTGCACACGTGTCCTATCTTTGATTAGACATGCTCTTACGATGGATCCTGCGTGATCGCGTGCGTAGTAAAACTTGCCCCCGTTCGATATTCGTGGTTCGCAACCACGATAGGGTTGTTATAATACATCATGCGATATGCCAATTTATAGTCGACTCCAATAATACACGACAATCAGCTGTAGCTCGGATTAATTAAAAATCATAATAAATATATGGGTAACACGTTTTATAAATTTATTTCACTCTTCCGATACAATTTTTATGCTCATCTCACAAACATCATTTACTTACAACATATATCTTCCAAATAAGCTAGTAAACGCTCTCTTATTGAATTATCAATCATTTGACCTTGTTGACCATCTGTACATTGTCCAATGCTTGATTGAATATTCTATTGTATAATCATGCGATGATCTTATATATATATGTAGATTCGAATTTCCGATATACATATAAAAATTGTTTTTTATGTTAAAAGAAGGGAAATAGAAAAAAATAAAATATGTTCTATTATAGTGGAAATAAAGAATCATTATAAAATCATTAAGTTACGAGAAGACAAAATCTAGGTTGAAATCTTACGTATTATATAATGGCGCCATTCTTTCTGCTCCGCTTGCAATTACGACTCTACATCTCGTGTGTGTTGTATCCTCACAATTCGCCAACGCGTTTGCGCGGTATCGATCCCCGATACCTCGCAGTCTGCTGCATCTCCTCGACAAACGGCATGTCGTGCCAGTTTGATAGCGGATGTTCCTCGGAGGACCCGCCATTTGCATTTGTAATATGGAACATCGTTCCACCGTTCTCGATCGACGAGGAGATCGGGGAATAACCAAGGTGCGTTTAGACAGGCTGATCATTGCTAACTTGTCAATTTTAACTTCACTTGCTAAATGCCTATTAACTCTTCAAAATTGCTCCATGTTGCTAAAAATATGACAATAACTGAATGCCAATACAATAGAATGAATGAGCCTTTTTAGCCTTGCGCTGCAAGTGTCTTCCTTAAATTCTGGAAAGATAAATTTCAGATTTATCAAATAATATCAACTTGAATTAGGTTGCAGAAGAATTAATGATTGATTGCCTCGTGCGTTTTAATCTTTGACTATTTATAGACTATTTATAGATGAAGTAGACAGAAAGATTACTTTTGCATCAAGTTAATTAGATTCTGAATGTATTCTCTCTCTCTCTTTCTCTCTCTTTCTCTCTCTCTCAGAGAAAGCGATGCGCAGCCTCGCTCGCAAGCTACTAGTATGGCCCACGACGTTGGTGCTGTCTCTCCTGGTCTTCCGTCTGTTATTCGGCCGAGATTTTCGATTGCCAACGACGACGCTCGTTTTTCGCGATGACGGTGATATCTCCACGTTGGATAACAACCATATAAATTCGCAGCAGGACGTTGGTCCACCAGGACCACTCGTCTATGCAGCGGGCATGTACATGGCAGGTCAGCGACCTCGCAATGAAAGTGCCTGCAGATGGTACCATGGCTTGCCGGATGTCTTCTCTTATCCATCATCCAGACTCACGTGGAGCTTCGAAATCGGCGAGAAGAGTCCCTACAGGTAGAGATCAATCGTCTACTGTCATCTACAAAAGATCATCGTTGTTTTTCTTCTTATATTTAATTCGGCTTACAACTAAAAGACTGACATTGAAATAAAACTATCAACCGGAAAGTGGTACTCAACATAAAAAAACGGAGCACGGAGAAAAAAGTTTGCTGGCACAGCATACTTTATGCTGTCGTAGCAGATTTTCTTAATCGTCATATTAACAGAAAGATTATTGTTTTAGGCGCGCCTGATTGCACCAACATTGCTTTGATTTAAGCGAGGTGAAACTCTCTCTATCTCTTCCTCTCTTTTGGCTTTACAGAGAGAAAATGAAGCCTATTCTACAATGTATTTTTTGTTTCATGTTTTTTGCTATTTTTTACATCTTATCTTTTTGCTTCTTATCAGGTTTTTTTATTTTATGTCGCCCGAGATAAAACTTAACGAACTTCAAAAGAAACAAAAAAATAGAGACACAATTGTCGATAAAACGATTGCAAAAGAGAAAAAAGCAAAAGATAAAAGACTTGAAAGTTTTAAACTTCGTTTAAAATTAAAGAGTAACATTGGTGCAACTGGAAGGAGGGGGGTGGGCTTACTGATCTAATTTGATAAATAATTTTCTTGAATATTTGCTGCAATACGTACCCCCGAGGGAGCATCCCCTCAGACCCCCCCGGAGGTGGCCGGACCTCCGAGGGAACTTAATATTTTATCTCAAATTAAATTTATTCTAGCTGATCATTCATATCTCTACAAACAAATTTATGCAGCAATATCCTTCTATTTTAATAATAAAATTAGTTAAACATTGGACAATATATATAGTATAGTATATATATATATATCCTATAGTATATAT